ATTCACCCCATGCGCCTTCTAACTCTCTGACTGTGCTGTGCATCCTTTTGCTGTAATAAGTCACAGACATTAGTTCAATTATATGCTGAGTCATGGAGCCCTCCTGGCAAATCATAGTAACTGGAAGTGGTCTTCAGGACCCTCTGACATACATCCCCACAGTCATGGCAGTCAAAAATGTATATACATATATATATATATAGCCAAACGTCCCCTGGGGAACAAAATCATTCCCTTTCTCCTGATGACAGCCAGCAGTCTAGCCCAATATTTGGCCCAAACAGGCCTTCAATAAAGGTTTGACTTGAAGTGAACTGAACTCAACTGAATTGAATTAAATAATTTCCAGAACAACTTTAGGAGGAAAAAAAGAGAAAAAGAACTGAATAAAAACGTTTAAAATCACACAACAGATTTAAGTAAATGCTCACAGAAGCAGCAAACAGAGAAGTAACTCTTTTCTCTACTTACAGTTATTTCTATCTCATGCTACATAAATATGCCAAATTAAGATCCTAGGCACATAACAGAAACTTGTACCACCCCCGAGGGTACCAGCTGGGCTAATGTAGATCATCCTTTCTGAGTTTATGAAAATCTAACCTTGAAATAGGGCACTGAATTATACCAGTTTCTTCTGTCCATGAATTCACTGTAAGAATTATTTGTGTATTTCCATTTTGATGATAATCCAAAAACTTAGTTTGGGAATAGTTTTGCTCGTATTTAATGATGAATACTACTAAAAAATATTCAACTTCCAAGTTTGTATTTAGTGGGCTAATGAGATGAGAGAAATGCTTAAAACGTAAATCATAAAGCAGAGTAAAACGCAGATAGAATCTAGGCTGTGAGTATACATGATGTTCACTATAAAATTTTTTAAACTTTGCTATCTGTTTGGACATTTTCATAATAAAATATTGGGAAAAAATATGCATCATGCATCTGCACCATATGAAGATAAATGATGTCACAATATGCTATCTAAAGGGAAGCTTCTAATGGTTCAAATAGAAAACATGGTTAAAAAAAAAAGTACATTGTCACCCAACATACAACAGTATAGGCACATCAAACCCAGCAAACTCATAATTAACTCTATATTCACCTAAAAGATGCAATCCCATTTCAAAGAAACAGCATCAGCTATCATATTAAATTATGTTAATCTGAATGTTATTAGTTTTATAGATGTGCTTATATTTAATTTGTAAATTTGTTTCAGTTTTGTAGTTGTATAAGCGCAGACAGTTTAGACTTTTTAATTTATATTTACTTATAACAAAAATAGTTAATTAAAATGCAAGGGACCTTGAATAGTCAGAAAAACTCTGAAAAAGAAGAACACAGCCTGGGCAATATCACAAGACCCTGTCTCTACAAAAAATTAGCCAGGCGCGGTGGCATGTGCCTATAGTCCTAGCTACTTGGGAGGCTGAGGCAGGAGGATCGCCTGAGCCCAGGGGTTCAAGGCTGCAGTGAGCTATGATTCCACCAATTCAATCCAGCACTCCAGAGTGACAGAGCGAGACTTTGTCTCTTAAAAAAAGAAAAAGGAAGAACAAAGTTGGAGAACTTACATTTATTTCAAAACTTAATACAAAGCTATGGTAACCAAGACAATGTGGTACTGGCATAACAGACATATAGACCAACAGATTCGAATTGAGAATCCAAAAATAAACCCATATATTTATGAACTGCAAGTAACCAAGGGTACCAAGACCACTCAATGGAAGAAGACTCGTTTTTTCAACAAGTGGTGTTTAGACAACTAGACATACACAAGCAAAAGAATGAAGGTGGACCCCCACCTTATACCACATACAAAAATTAACCAAAATGAACCAAAAATCTACATGTAAGAGCTAAAACTGTAGAATTCTTAGAAGAAAACGTAAGGGTAAATCTTCATGGCCTTGGATTATGCAATGGTTTCTTTAAAATGACACCAAAACTGCAAGTAACCAAAGGAAAAATAGATATGACTTCATCAAAATGAGGAACTTTTGTGCATCAAAGGACACTATCAAGAAAGTGAGGCCAGGCGCAGTGGCTCACGCCTATAATCCCAGTACTTCGGGAGGCCAAGGCAGGTGGATCACCTGAGGTCAGGAGTTTCAGACCAGCCTGACCAACATGGAGAAACCCCGTCTCCACTAAAAATACAAAATTAGCCAGGCATGGTGGCACATGCCTCTAATCCCAGCTACTTGGGAGACTGAGGCAGGAGAATCGCTTGAACCTGGGAGGTGGAGGTTTTGGTGAGCCGAGATCGCGCCATTGCACTCCAGCCTGGGCAACAAGAGCAATACTCCGTCTCAAAAAAAAAAAGAAAAAAAAGAAAGTGAAAAGCAATCTATAGAATGGGAGAAAGCATTTGCAAATCATGTATCTGATGAAGGTCTAACATCTGTTATAGATAAAGAATTGTTACAGCTCTACAATAAAAAGACAATTCAATTTAAAAATGGGCAAATGATCTGAATAGACATTTCTCCAAAGAAGTTATATAAATGGCCGATAAGCACATGAAAAGATACTCAAAATTATTAGTCAGTGGGGAAATGCAAACCAAAACCACAATGAAGATACGACTTCACATTCACTAGGACGGCTAGAGTAAAAAACACAGGCAATAACCAGGGTTAGTGAGGATAGGGGAAAATCAAAACTCTTATACTTGGCTGGTGGGAATGTGAAATGGTGCAGCCGCTTTGGAAAAGAGTTTGGCAGCTCCTCAAAAAGTTAAACACAGAGCTACCGTAGGACCCAGCAGTTCTGCTCCTAGGTCAAGAGAACTGAAACCAGCTTTACACAAAAACTTGTATACAAATGTTCACAGCAGCATTATTCCTAAGAGCTAACAGGTGGAAATAATCCAAATTTCTATCAACTGATGAAGAGATGAACCAAATGTGGTATATTCATATGATGAAATATTCAGCCGAAAAACAAAGGAAGTACTGATTCCGTGCTATGACATGAATAAGCCTTGGAAACATTACGCTAAGTGAAAGAAGACAGGTACAAAAGACCATTTATTGTATAATTATATTTATAGGAAATGTCCCGAATAGGCAAACCCATAGAGACAAAAAGCAGATTAAGGATTCTTGCTGGGGACAGAGGTTAAGGACTGACTGTTATTGGATATTAAGTTTATGGAGTGATGAAAATGTTCTAGAATTAGGTAGTAGGCCTGATGATAGTTGCACAATTTTGTAAATATACTAAAAACCATGAAATTGTACACATTAAAACAGTAAATTTTATGGTATATAAATTAATCTCAATTTTAAAAATAAAATAAGTCAACTCTGGGAGTCCATGAAGGGAGAAAAATCCAAGAAGATATCCCAAGCAACAAGTTCATGAACCACTCAGTCTTGCTCTGCACTTGCCTAAGGGTAGAAACAAAAACGTCTCAAGCTCACCTGGGCTTTACACATCGTCCACATAACAAAATTTGCTAAGTGAATGGCTAATGTAAGTTTCAGAATTTGGTCCCGGGCCACATGGCAGAACATAAACAGGAGCGAGATGTCTTCTCCTGAGAAAAGTTATCTTACTTCTCAGAGTCCACAAGGGTTTCTCAGGGGACATTTGAGATACTTAAAGAATGGTTCCAATGTTCTCCAAGCAAACTATTTCCATGAGACCCATTTCTCAAACCAAATATGACATTTTTAGTGTCACAATTTATATATCGGTCACCTCTGCTTCTGAGAACTTCCACACAAGTAAAGGATGCTTTTATTATGTTTGTTTAATGCTTATTGAGATTCTCACCAGGAAACAGCACAATTTTTACATAGACTACAGAAAAAAAAAGGTTACATCCATGCTCCACATCCACGTTGTCAGCCCTTTTCATTTACTCCCTCATATACTAAAATATGAGCCAAGAAATGCCACACACTGAAGATATGGTAATTTTAAAAAACAGCTGGATGCAGTGGCATGGGCCTACAGTTCCTGCTACTTGTGAGGCTGAGGCAGGAGGGTCGCTTGAGCCCAAGAGTTTGAATCTAGCCTGGGCAACAGAGCAAGACTCTGTCACTTAAAAAAGCAAAAAAAAAAAAAAAAAAAAAAGCAAAAACAAAAAACTAACCTCAGCTTCACTGCATGTACAAAATCCAAAATCCAAACAAGACAGGCTTTGAGCAAGACATCACGATGGGCATCACATGTGTCACTCTGGGAGACGTGCAGGCTGCTATGTGAGCACAAAGCACAGGAGCCAGTGCAGGGGCCAAGAAGGTACCCCCTCCACCCCACCCCAGAAGGTGGTTTCAAGCTGAAACCTAAGGCACCAGCAGGATTTTAGATCGATGAAGATGAGGAAAAAGGTCTGCAGACAGTGGAGAGTGTGTCTACCGCCCAGAAAACGGAGAGAAAGCACAGCGTGTTCTAGGAACTAAAAGAAGTAAAACGTTCTCAGACACAAAGCTAAAGATGCAGATAGCGGTCAGATGACAGAGAGCCTTGAAAGACGTTTTAAGGACTGTGGGCTAAGGACCAACGTGAATCTTATCCTAAGGAGCAATGTGAAGCCAAGGATCAGACTTGAGGGTAGCAAGACCAGAGGCAGGGAAACCACACAGGAAGCCGCTTCGGCAACCCAGAGGAGAGATGACAGTTCCCTGGTCTAGGGTAGAGGAGGAGGAGTCGGGGAGCAGATAGACCTAGGAAGTATTTAGGATGTAGAATCAACAGGACTTCCTACTTTGATATAGGAAACAAAGGAGAGAAAGGAGTTAAGGATACCACATGGATTCCTGCTTTAGAAAACTTGGTACACAGCACTGTGAATTTACAGAGATAGAGAAAACTGCAGGATGAATGAGACTGGCGTGGAGGTGGGAAAGATGGGTGCCTCAGGGACCCTGCCCTGGAACTGATGTTTTGGTTGCTTTGATGTCCACCACGCTAAACCTCGTCAACATCTCACAGATTCAGTAAAGGCAAACCTGGCTGGGATGAATGTACCTTACCCTGGTCCTTTCTCTGGAAGATCCACCTCAGCTGACAGTGGACTATAGACAGGAATGCTGACATCGTAGCCTTGCCGGTAAGTCCACGTAGAAAAGCCGCCGCCAGCTAACAGGGCCCTGAGAGCAAAGGATTTTGTTAAATGATGAGAAAGAAGGACTTTATTCTGATACACCCTGTGGAGAGGAACAGGAATTACTGAGTCTTTATTATCAAAACCAGCTAATGTTTACGGAGTCATTTTTCTATAAAGACACTGTATTAAATGCCTTATACACGCATCTCGGGGCCATCAGCTGCATTCTATTCTTGAATCACCAGCCTTCCCCAGGGTCCTAAATAACCTTTCCTTACTTCCCAGTTTTTAAAACACATCATAGCCCAGAGGACACCTTATGGACAGCCTCTCTGCTACCTTACTCAGATCCCATTTACCTCTCCCTAGTCATACTTTATAATTAAACACATTTACAGTAACAGGAATAATAACAGTTCTGCATGGGAAGATTGGTTGGGGCAGTCATTTACCAACCACTGACTGGAATCTCAGAAGACAATGGGCCTGCAAAGCAGTGGTGGCCAGAAAGTATCACATCTCATATCGCTTACACCCCAGCCTCTCTTCAGTCCCTGCCCCAAGCAGTTCTTTCCACCATCATCCCAGAGCTACGTGTCAATCACGTAGCCTCCACCAGCTCTCACTGTCCATTCCAGCTACTTAGTCTTATTAACCCAATTCCCTATACAGGAAGCAGAACCTAGAATTAAACCCTCAGTCCTTCTCTTGCAGTTTGCTTGTATTAGCCTTTACTCTCCTTAATTAGAAAACAGTGACCACATTGTTTTAACTGGATCCAGCAAGTAGTACAATGACACTTCATCAGAGAAAGGAAGCAGGTGTTTATCACACCAACTTTTACTGTTATTCTCTCCCAGGACCCCAAACCCATCAAAATCACTTTCTAAGGCAGAACTCTGCCAATTGCACACACCACAAAGTCTGAGCCAAGATGTCTGAACTGAGAAACCACATTTTTTGCAGTATTGATTGCTACCAATCCCCTCCCGGCCCTGATGACAACCTACATTCCCTTCTAACATGACCAGTTTAGGTTCAAAGATTTTGAAACCACCCCTGGAAATCCCACTCTGTTTAAGCTTTATGAAACCAAGAACTGGTGAATGAGGTAACGTGCAGGCTAAAAACTTCTCCAGCTGCCGGTCTACTCTGTAAAATGTAATGACTATCCTTGGTACCAACATACGGTCTTATTTTTCCTGATTAGCATGCAGCACTGAATCCGTCCAACATGAATTTGGGCAGGTTCCATGACCATGATGGCAAGCAGACTCTGTGGGCCCCATGGCCTATGTGCAGACAAGCAGACAATCCATGTCTATGGATGCAATATTCAAGCACCCGGCAGTCCAGGTAAGCCAGGGTCGTGGGTGATTAGGCTATTACACTCACAGCCCCAGAGGAGAAGTGGGTGTGCATGTGGAGAGAAAGGAAGCAGGTGTATATCACATCAACCTTTACTGTTATTCTGTCCCTGGGGCCCCAAACTTGTTATTCTGTTCCAGGGGGTTAAGGTGAACGTTCAGCACTGGCAGTAGGAAAGTAGCAATCGGAAGCATGCCTTACGCTGAAGATCATCCACATGCAATCTCTGTTTGTCATCTCAAAAAGAGCCACGACTGCAGCTAGTCAAACTGGCCTCCTGCCAGCCCTGCTACTGACAAGACTTTAACTTTAAAGCACTGTATCTTCTTCTGCCAAGGTCTCCATTACATTATAATGGAGAAAATATTGTAAGCATCCCTTGCTTTACAGAACACATGTTTTACATTGACTGAAAAGTGAATTTCTGAACAGCACATTCTGTTTTCCCATTATGTATACCAAAATCAGAGATCAGTTCCAAAGTTGCAAGAGACTGAATAGAAAACCTGCAGCTAAAGAAGTATTAATATGATGATCTGACTCAGGTCAGGCCAAGTATTATATCACTGGAGGTCTCGCCAGCATTTTTAGCACTTTGCAGGGCTGCCTGATTCTGGGACGTCTCCTCTGACACTGAGCCTTCCTCCCCATCGCCTCGTATCCTCCACCCTCCCTAACCCAGTGTTGGGCATGTTTTCTCCCAGCTCTCCTGCTATCTAAGTATTCACTGAGGCTGCAAGTTTATCCTTCGCTTTCCTTTAAACCATGCATGGAATCAGGCCTGCAAATTCCTCAAATATAAAGCTTCAGGTTTTGCACAAAACAAAACCCAAAAAGCAGACCGATTCAATCAGTCATCCTTATTTGTTCACTGAGTCAAACAAACTGTAAAACAATATTTATGAGACAGGTAAACATGAGCAAAGGCTAGATATTTACTAACTATTTACTGATATGGAAAAATTACTGTTAATTTTCCTAGCCCATCTGTTTTCTAATTTCCAAACAATCTGACATGCAGCTCCCGTAAAACCATTCTGCATTCACTGTTCTTACCTCCTTTGAATCCAGGAGCAAGGATGAAGATTTAAAAAATTAACAAACAAATCTACTATTCCTTACCCCAACAAGACAGCCACCTAAGTTTCAACATGAAATTTCCCACATGCAAAGATAAAGAAGGACTAGATGGCGATTCATTACCTGCTATAGGATTGGCTATAATCACTTACAAAAATATACGCACAGGAAAAACTATTTAACCTTCCTGATCCTAACACCTAAACTCTAGCATGTACTCACACTTTCTCCTGTCTACTTGACACCTTCCTGCAGAGAAATGCAACTGCATTTAACATGTGCACTTCATAAAAATACAATCCAACTCCCATACAGATGCATATACCAAAATGTCAGCAAAAAGTGAAATGCCCCAAACAGAAAGAAGCCTTTCTGCAAAGAAATCCAGAAAAGGAGATGGAGACTCTGCACTCCTAACAGCTCTTCTCCTTCCCTTCTCTGTTCTCCAAAGTATTTCACTTCCTCAGAACAACCAAATCCATAAAACAGTAGCCTACTCAGGAACAGGCACACCTGCTCTGGGGCTGAGAGCCAAATCCGCAATTGCCCTGTGTTCAGCCACTTCCTACAGCATTTGTGCACCCGGACTGCCCTCTATCGTCCAAAATGGTCTCTACACCTAAGCTGAGGGGTGGTCCTGGGGTGTTTGTCTCTTCTAGTTATAATTGTATTTCCAGACAGAAACTCAAAACTGACTTTAGATAATCACTTAAAGCAAAGAAGGTTTAGATTTAATCTTCTGGGGAAAAGGAGTACTAAGTGTCGATTTTCGTAATTGATAAGGTTAGCCTCTAACAAGTTGAGAACTAACCTCAGGCTGTTCTCGGGCTAATAGCTCAGGCCGTTGCCTTTTCAGTAACAATGATTTTTAAGAGTTAAACGCCAACTGTAATAAGACTGGTGATAAACGAGTTTAGGTGAACTCTTAACAATCCTATACCTTGAGTATTGCCCAGGACCCTTATATGGGGCCCCAACTTTCTACTTTCCTCAAAGCCTTGAACCAAGCACTAAGGGAGGTCCCTTAAGGAGCACCTCATACCAGAGCTTTCCAAGAAAGTTCACACCCAAATGTTTCAGTCAGTGAAGGAAAGGGCAGATAAATACAGTGAGGGAACTCAAAGTCACTCTCATGCAGTCATGGCCACCCCACACCACATCTGCCTATTTGGAAGGTTATTCTAGAAAGAAGGAAAGGCAAGAGGGGCCAGTAATGAAAGCAGGCAGGCAGGGAGGGAGGGAGGGACGGAAAGAACCCTGCTGACTGAAACAACAGAAGGTAAATGAGAATCAGCATGCCCCCATTGCCCTCTACATTACAGGCTTTGGGTATCACTTTGACATATCCACACTGCCTTCTCTCAGTAAACTGTGCATGTACTTGTGGCAAATGCTCCCGAATTCAGAGAGAGCTAGCACAAGCCTGGCACACTTTCGGGGGCTGGATGTGTTACACTCAGAAGTGCACAACCCAGAGTGGGAAAAGAGTTTTAGAGGCGGCCGGGCGTGGTGGCTCACGCCTGTAATCCCAGCACTTTGGGAGGCCGAGGTGGGCTGATCACAAGGTCAGGAGATCGAGACCATGGTGAAACCCCATCTCTACTAAAAATAGAAAAAATTAGCCGGGCGCAGGGGCGGGCGCCTGTAGTCCCAGCTACTCGGGAGGCTGAGGCAGGAGAATGGCGTGAACCCGGGAGGCGGAGCTTGCAGTGAGCCGAGATTGCGCCACTGCACTCCAGCCTGGGCGACAGAGCGAGGCTCCGTCTCAAAAAAAAAAAAAAAAAAAAAAAAAAAAAAAAAAAAAAAAAAAGAGTTTTAGAGGCTATCCCAGGACATAGGCCCTAACCGGTTTTCCATAAAAGATTTAAGCACTTTTAAATCTTCAGGAGGAAAACACTTAGGACAATTTTCTAGTTTAATAAACAATAAACAATTCTGATTACAAAGTATGCGGTAGATTTAGGAATATAATTTCACATGAACAAAAGGATCTGGCATTTACTTAATCCTCAGAAACCCATCATAAGGACAGCCCCAAATATGCCTCCTACCTGTCTCTGGGGACATCCAGGGCCGTGTTATAATCTGGGGGACCTCCAGGCAACATGTTGAACAACAGGTGATTTGTACCTCGATCCCACCTGTCAAGAAATTTAAAACGTAGGAGAATTCATGTGTCCACTATGAAGAGACAAGAGTCAGTTACTGGATAACAAGTACCAAGGATCCCCAAGCCCAAATAGGGCCGCTTCTCAGGTATGCTAAGCAAACTCCTGGAAATCCTAACAGCACATCAGACACAAGTCGGGCTCCATGACAGAAAAAATGGACGGACGTGTACTTCACGCTTGTCCCATACAGAACTGCTTCTAACAATGAAAAGTTGAAAACTATCCAAATGTTCACCATTTGGTTAAAGAAACACAAATACATTAGAGAAGCCTGGCTAAATATACGGTAGAACATCGGCAAAATGGAATACTATGCAACCCTTAAGGTTATATAGTAAAAGAACATAAAGTTATGTCATAATTTGGAAATATATTCATGATATATAAGGGAAAAAGCAAAAGAGTATGTACTGTGTGATCCCATTTGGGACAAAACGTTTATATACACACGTGTATGTATATTTTTAGTAACATCAAAATATTAATAATGTTTATCTCTTAAGAGGCAGGATTTTGGAATGAATCTTAGATTCTTCTTTTTGCTTACCTGTATTTTCAGACTTCTTACAGTGAATGTGTATTATGTAAGTGCTAAGAGGAGGCGGGAGCACGTTTAGATTTAAAAGGAAGAATATAGGAGGAAGAGCCACCCTTAGTTTGGAAACTCTAAGAGGCTGGGAACCCACAGCAGTAGTGCCGGAGACGGCAGACTACTCTTCATGGGCACACAGGCAGACGCTGCCACACAGGCCTCGTGCTGCAAGTCAGTCCCTTCAACACACCCCGTCCTGCAAGAAGACAGCATCGGGAGGCCGACTCAAGAGCAGAAGCATTCCCATCCTTCCCTTCCCTTTAGTTCCCTGAGGGCCACTCAAGTATCTCTTGGGCGCTGGGCTGTACCAGTGTGAGATACCTAGAGAGCTGGGCCAACGCTTGCGCTGTCTCCTTGATGCGGAGTGTGTTCTGGTTAAGCACATCGATGGAGGGAACAAACAGGCAGGCCCGGTTGATGTCATCAGTGTAGTAGTCACTGTCTGAGATGGCTGTGAGCAGTTCATTATACTCCCGGGAGATGGTGTTGCTGACAGGGACGCCAAAGTCATCCACGTACTTTTTCAGAGCATAGATATACACCTTGATTTTGTTCTTTGGGTTGAAGCCACAGCGGTAGACATCAAAACACGTGTGCATTCTGCAACTGAGATCCCCGCGCTCTGGGATGGGACTGTCGGCTGGCAGCCTGACCACCGGCACATCACGGACGCTACGCTTCTCTACATTCCAGTCATTTGAGGACTCGATAGAATGGGGCCAGAACTGAAACATGCCAGTGGCAATGAGGCCCAGGAGGACAATGGAGAAGAGGGTGATATAGTAGATTCGGTGCTTGGTCTTCATTCTTGGGATGAGGGCAGGACCCCGGATATTATACTTGACCGACGCACACATAATGACACAGACAGCCTCTTTCTCACACTCCTGGTCATCAGGGAGAGAAATAAGAAAAATCGAGTGTTTAGGATGGCAAATGACACTTGAAAAGACTATTCAACTTTTTTTTTTTTTTTTGAGAAAGGGTCTCACTCTGTCACTCAGGCTGGAGTGCAGTGGTACAATCTCAGCTCACTGCAACCTCCACCCCCTTAGGCTCAAGCGATCCTCCCACCTTAGCCTCCCAAATAACTGCGACCACCACGCCCAGATAATTTTTTGTATTTTTAGTAGAGAAGGAGTCTTGCCATGTTGCCCAGGCTGGTCTTGAACTCCTGAGCTCAAGCTATCAGCCTGCCTCGGCCTCCCAAAATGCTAGGATTACAGGCATAAGCCACCGCGCCCAGCCTTGACTTTTAATGTACCTATTTCGTTCCCTAAAGTGGTGTGGTGAAATAACGAAAAGGGATTTTGAACACTTCTTATAAACATGGCCATCAGAGAAATGCAAATCAAAACCACAATGAGATACCATCTCACACCAGTTAGAATGGCAATCATTAAAAAGTCAGGAAACAACAGGTGCTGGAGAGGATGTGGAGAAATAGGAACACTTTTACACTGTTGGTGGGATTGTAAACTAGTTCAACCATTATGGAAAACAGTATGGCGATTCCTCAAGGATCTAGAACTAGAAGTACCATATGACCCAGCCATCCCATTACTGGGTATATACCCAAAGGATTATAAATCATGCTGCTATAAAGACACATGCACATGTATGTTCTTTGCGGCACTATTCACAATAGCAAAGAATTGTAATCAACCCAAATGTCCATCAGTGACAGACTGGATTAAGAAAATGTGGCACATATACACCATGGAATACTATGCAGCCATAAAAAAGATGAGTTTGTGTCCTTTGTAGGGACATGGATGCAGCTGGAAACCATCATTCTCAGCAAACTATCGCAAGAACAGAGAACCAGAACCAAACACCGCATGTTCTCACTCATAGGTGGGAACTGAACAATGAGATCACTTGGACTCGGGACAGGGAACATTACACACCGGGGCCTATTATGGGGAGGGGGGAGGGGGGAGGGATTGCATTGGGAGTTATACCTGATGTAAAGGACGAGTTGATGGGTGCTGATGAGTTGATGGGTGTAGCACACCAACATGGCACAAGTATACATATGTAACAAACCAGCACGTTATGCACATGTACCCTAGAACTTAAAGTATAATAATAATAATAAAACATTTAGAAATATATATCTAGATATATGAATATACATCATATATAATTTATTTAATATTTAATACTGCATATATTTAACATAAATATTAATTCATAATATAAAATATTATTATACCCTATCAATACACATTCGCCTAAAGCAGAAGCTGGCAAATGTGGGACTCTGGGAATGAGGGCTCGGACCAAGGCAGAAAAATCAAAAGTGGAATAGCAAAAGACAGTTATTTTATTTCAAAACACTTGCTTAATGTAAAATAATGATTTAACTGGACAAACTGATGCTTCATTATTCCAAAATCTGTTTTTAGCCTGGTGCGGTAGCTCATGCCTATAATCCCAGCACCTTGAGAGGCCGAGGTGGGTGGATCACCTGAGGTCAGGAGTTCGAGATCAGCCTGACCAACATGGCAAAACCCGTCTCTACTAAAAATACAAAAATTAGCCAGGCATAGTGGCATACACCTGTAATCCCAGCTACTTGGGAGGCTGAGGCAGGAAAATTGCTTGAATCCAGGAGGTGGAGGTTGCGATGAGCTGAGATCATGCCACTGCACTCCAGCCCAGGTGACAGAGTGACACTCTGTGTCAAAAAAAAAAAAAAAAATCTGTTTTCATTCACTTATTCATTCAAACCATTATTGAGCACCCACGATGCACTGTGAAGAAAACAAAGATGAAAGTAAAGACCCCACTCTAATGAGGGAGAGAACACAAAACTATAACAAAAGGCAGAATGTAAAAACACCACTAGGAAAGTATCAATAAAGTACAAAAGGGTATCAACAAGAAAAAAAATTAATCTTTCACGTTTAAATAAAACATATAGGCCGGGCGCGGTGGCTCAAGCCTGTAATCCCAGCACTTTGGGAGGCCGAGACAGGTGGATCACAAGGTCAGGAGATCGAGACCATCCTGGCTAACACGGTGAAACCCCGTCTCTACTAAAAAAATACAAAAAATTAGCCGGGCGAGGTGGCGGGCGCCTGTAGTCCCAGCTACTCGGGAGGCTGAGGCAGGAGAATGGCGTGAACCCGGGAGGCGGAGCTTACAGTGAGCTGAGATCCGGCCACTGCACTCCAGCCTGGGCGACAGAGCGAGACTCCGTCTCAAAAAAAAAAAAAAAACATATAGTGATGATTTATAATGAAGGTGATAGTTGCATTTAGATGAATGGAAGAAATGAAGAAAGGATGGGGCAGGAGAGACAAAGGGATGGAGGAAGAGGAAGAGAAAGAGAGAAGGGAGAAAGGGAGGAAGAGGGCCAATGTGGCAGATTCATTTACAAAGATGAACACCAACAATTCTTTCCATCTCTGAATTTGCGTGGCACTTCTCCAAACAAAATGTAGAATCCACGTCCCCTCCTCATGAATCTAGGCTAGCTTTATGATTTGCTTTGACCAAGAAAATGTGGCTGAAGTGATGTTCTGGGATTTCTGAGCACAGGACTTGAGAGGCCCTATAGCATCTGCCTTTGCACTCTTCGAATCCAGCTGCCAGGCTCTAAGGAAGCTGAGCTCCCAGTGAAAGGCAACCTACCCTAGCGGACACAGAGATCCCAGTCAAAACCATTAGGGAAGAGATGAGCCATCTCCACCAAGCTCTGCACAGATTCCGTAATCATGAGCAAACAAATGATTGTTGTTGTTTTAAGCCTCTAAATTTTGGGGTGGTTTCTTACACAGCAATAGATAAATAAAACAGCCAATAAGCATTATTGACTGAGATGTAAAGAAAATTTTTAGTCCTCAGCTAAAAACATAGAGTTCCCATGTAGACCACATTTTAAGATCCTTACCAAACAAACTTCTCCTCTGTGATTCCCAGATACTGTTTGCGGAGGGCAGAGCCTTGAGTGTGGCTACGTCATCTGCCACAGACTTACCATGTTACTCAACAAACTATTTTGACATTCTGCATGTCAAAATCCCAATCCACAAAAAAGCTGGGCACAGTGGCTCATGCTTATAATCCCAGCACTTTGGGAGGCCAAGGCAGACGGATCACCTGAGATCAGGAGTTCAAGACCAGCCTAGCCAACCTGGTGAAACTCCGTCTCTACCAAAAATACAAAAATTAGCCAGGCATGATGGCGGGCGCCTGTAATCCCAGCTACTTGGGAGGCTGAGGCAAGAGAGTCACTTAAACCTGAGAGGCGGAGGTTGCAGTGAGCCGAGATCGTGCCACTATACTACAGCCTGGGCAACACAACAAGCCTCTGTCTCAAAAAATATAACATAACATAACATAACACAACATAACAAAACATAACATAACATAAAATAACAAAATGGTATCATTCTACTCACGGATCTTCTAAGAAACCTATTAATATAATGGGAAGTAACTGAAAAGCTCACAGACCATCTTAGAGTTCATCAACCATTTTTACTTCGGATAAATGGAGCTCTCCCCATCACTGCCCACGTGGTAAACTGCTTCCTGCCTAACTAGCTGAGTATTACCAAGCCTTGAATGTCACAATCACTGTCAGTTTTTTGGTTAAAATATGCTAAACGGTCATAAATGATTTCAAGTCATATATCTCTGAGACCAGAAACTGGAACGTAACAAGGAATTTGCTTGTCACTGACGAACATATGAAAATTCATACATTTTGAGCTTAAAACATGATCATCTTTGGAGTATATACATCATACATCAGTCACTCAATATATTCTAATCGCTTTATGACAGAAATGTGGGCATGACAGCAATTTCACTTTTGCTATCATTCTAACAGCAGAACATTCCTGCCTGCTCTCATCCCCTACCAGCTCCAGGCCCACCCTACGGTATGGCTTGCTTGCCGTTCTGCATATCCTTCCTGGAGTTTGCAGACAGGAGGTTTTGGAACAAATGCATGCAAGGAGCTGCCCTCCACTGGCCTATGTTAAAACTTCCCAAGAAGCTCTCAAGGTCTATGTGTATACTTGAATCTGTGGTTCCCCAACACCTGAAGGGTAAGAAGCACAAGAGTTTGTTAAAACAGATTCCTTGCCCCACCACTGGAGGCTGTTATCAGTAAGTCTAAAATAGGGCCACAGAATAGGTCATGTAAAAGCAAGCTCCTCACGTATTTTGTACCATCTGGTTTGAAACCTTTATTAATATTAGACAAACTACCCTTTAATAGTGTTTTTCAAAACTTTTTTTAAACTAAAATTGACAGTAAGAAATACAAGTTATATCGTGGCCCAATGTAGACAAATATATATATATGTGTCTATAGACATTTTAAATAAAGTTTCACAAAACAATATTTAAGCTATGTACTATGAGTACACAGTGTTAGCCACAGAACATGCAATGAACCCTCCATTTTTCTACTCTGTTATTCTATTGCTTTTTAAAAAATTCTGGCCATAACCTACTAGATCAATTATACCACTCAATAATGGGTTCTTCATAGTTTGAAAAATAGTTTCCATATATAACAAAATTAAGGTTAAGGGAACAAACACTGTATTCACACATGAGCTTTACAAATCTTCATGAGTTGCAGATTAACTATAAAAAAGACATACCACAACAAAATAAAACCAAAGATAACAGAAGAAAATAATAAATAAAAGCACAGAAATTCATTTAAAAACAAAATAGAAATAGTCAACAAGGCTAAAAGTTGTTTTTTTGTTTTTGTGTTTTGTTTTTCTTGAGACACAGTCTCGCTCTGTCGCCCAGGCTGGAGTGCAGTAGTGTGATCTCAGCTCACTGCCAGCTCCGCCTCCCGGGTTCACACCATTCTCCTGCCACAGGCTCCCGAGTAGCTTGGACTACAGGC